TTGCATCTTGATCATTAACATGATATTTTAGAATAGGATGTCTTTCACCTGGATCATGTGGAAGGCGATTGGTATCATAAACTCGTGGCAGTGAAGACGGTTGTGGCGGTGGCATAGGATTTACAATTTCCTCAACTACTCTCTCATGAATCTGCTCTTCCACCACAGGTTCAATCGGATCAGGATTAAAAGTAGCAGCAGCTGCCGCAGCCTTCTTCTTTGCTGCATGCTTTTGAAAAAGAGATGCAATGTCCCCGTTTCTCTTCATAACTGCATAAATATTACAAAGAACACAATGCCAAATAATTAAATAAATTGCGCTTGCACGATTGAACTCTCAGATGCGATTATGGATCACTCACATGATATGAGTACTGAACAAAAGATCAATCAAGATCGACTCTGATGTTGAGAAAAATCCTCCACCTCGCCGCGTGATAGATGATTCTATAATTTTAGCGCTAAGCAATTAGCAATTAAAGTACAAATGATTTTTTTTAAAAGTCGAAGAACAAAGATTGAATCTCACCAGAACAATTGTGATCACAAATTCGCCTAGATGCCGCCGGTGGCCGGTGCCGCCGTAGCCCGTAGGCCAAACAGGACACGAGCCCGTAACTGCACGAATATTAGAAAAACATGATGCTAAATAATGAAACAATCTATTATTGTAATGTTAGCAAATAACACAAGAGATTAGATCAGGGAACTGGGAAAGTGTGGCGTAGTCGTACTCACCGCGTCTCTGTGACTCTGCCATTAGGGTGTCCGGCGGCGCCGGCGCCGTGACCGCGTCTCTCGCTCCGCCCGTCCGTCGGCGTCGCCTCCTATCGAGATTAGATTAGGGGAAAGTTACACCTAATAGAATTGCGGGCGTGGTCAATGTGAACGCCTTCTTTGCTGCGTGGGCCACGTGGGGTGCCTCAAGTGGGCCTTTCGTGGTGGTGTGATGTATTCTAGGTAAGTTTTTTTTTTTTTTCTTTTACATAAATACAAATGCAAATACGTATACAGTATATAATAGTATATTCATCGGTGATGCAGGGTATGCCAGTGCATATTTTGGCATACCCTGTGCCTCCGCCACTGGCTCCCACTCATCCAAAACAACCATAAAAATGTGCACGAAAAAAAATCAACAAAATATGAATGAGTAGACAATATAAAGATACGCTCATGCGAAATCTGGGGACGGAAGAAGTTCTATGCAAGGAGAAACAAAAAGACAAATCATCATGTGAATAGCGTGGGCTGTGGATCTATACAAACAGAGTACCTGACCCAATAAACATGTTGACTCTCTCTCTCTCTCTCTCTCTCTCTCTACTTGCACATAATTTTGTATGTCCTCAAATTTTGTATGGGCATGCATCCTTCCATTAACTACCTAATTATATTTCTGTTGTTTTTTTCATGCACGTTTTGATGGTTTTTTTAGAGTGGGAGCATGGCAGCTTGGGAGGAGATGGGAGCATGGGAGACGGTCTCCATCACTACCATGTCAACATGTTGGTTTTCTAGGTTTGTATATCCTTCCTTCCCGAACGTTTGGGTGCCATCTCAATTCTCAAACCTCTTCAAGTTTGTATAAACGTTGGCACGATAATTGTCTTTATGCTAGTGCTACACACCAATTCTTATTGGTTACATAACCTTGCTATTTTATTGCCTTTTCCTACCCAACATAGGTAGTGGTCCTCGCCATTATTTTTATCCTTATTACCATTGCTTGTAGTCTAAAAAGACTTGGTCATTATTTTTATCCTTACTACCATTGCTTGCAAGGGGCGAGACGTCCCATTGACTTTAATCTTAAAGAAGGCCCCCACCAAACCCGAGAACAGACAGGAACCTCACACGTGTGCATGCTTAATTCTTGGGCGGCCACGGAACCATATGCGTTGTTTCAACCAAGGAGGCGGGCACACAACCATGCGGCACTAGGGGATTGAACCCTTGTGGATGTGCCCAACCACTGCGCTATCAATGTGTTTGCCCATTGCTTGTAGTCTTGCTTATTACTTGTAACCAATATGAAAAATCTTGTTTGGTTTATGTCGTTTCATCGTCATGTTGTTGTTTTCAAACATAAGACATATATACACTCATGCGCACGCTTTGATGCAAATAGTAAATAGACACGTGCTTTTCTCACAATGTTGCACGTACCTTTAATGGCAACTAATATTCTAAGTATAGGAGTCATGAGGCAGAAAACCAATTTTTAGGAAGAAACTAACAGAAACACGGCTCAATCATTTTAGAGGGGACGCAAGTAGAGTTTCCATCGTTTTGTGTTACAAGGCAACGAAAGAACTCATTATCACATCCTCCCTTCATCCTAAAACATAGTGCATTCTAGCATTTATAATTTATTGTAAAATATAGTGCATTTGGAGAACAAGAAGATAATGTTTACTTAAATAAATATACATGATTATTTGTATAAGTAAAGTAATTCAAGTACTTGCCATATTTTATATAAGGAGACTGAGAGTAGAATCATATTTCAATAGATTAGGAAGTTAAGTGAGGGGTATATGCATCTATCGCAGTCTCTCTTATTTTGTCTGAGAATAGTCAGAATGCACTATATTTCACGACAGAGGGAATAGGTCTATAAGAGCATCTCCAAGAGTCTTTTTAAAATCTACTCTCTAAATTATCGTTTGGAGAGTCATTTGAGTAAAAATCTTATTCTACATCTCTGTATTCTCCCAGCTTTTCTATATCTTGTGCTCAGTCTAGAGAGTCATTCTCACTCTCCATCTTAGGCTAGCGAGAAATCCAAAATAGATGATATCTATATTTGAATATCCAATTAAAGAGGCTATTGGAGGTTAATTTTTCGCCAAAATCTCTATTCTTATGAATTAGAAAAGATACAAAGAGCATCTCCAACACTACTGCCTAAAACAGAGGCCTTACTTTTCTATTTGATAGCCACATATTTTGATACTTCTCATTGTTTGTTATTTCCTCCAGCATGACTACCTAGAACATGCCTCCCAAATCCATCTTAATAGAGAATGGCATGTGGGACCCACATGCCATCCTCTTCCTTTCCACATCACCATTGAAAAACTTGGCCATCAGCGCTTGATGCGCCATCGGGAGAGGGGGTGGCTCCGGCCACCCTGTAGCCATCGAGAGTATGGGGTGGCTTTGGCCACCCTCCAACCGGGGAAGACGAGGAGCACGAGCTCTGGCGATCGTCGACAAGGAGGCGTGCGGTAGCCTGGAGGTGGGGAACGGCTAGGGCGGCCAAATTTGTCCACAGCCGTCTTCGCCACGCTGCCGCCGAGATGCTCGAAGGGTGCGACAACGACCTTGCTTGGTTCAGCGGTGGGGGAAGAGCCGCGCACAGGCTAGGGTGAACAAACATGGGGCTGGAAGCAGTCGAACAAATTTTTAGGTGTTTATTTGCTGGGCCAACAAAAGTGAATAGTGGAAGTGGTTTTTTTTTATCTCCACTATTAAAATAGGATATGTAATCTGTTTAGATAGTCTACTAGAGATGCTCTTCGTTAAATAATCACACCCGTTACACACTTGATGAACGCTAAAATTTGCAGCAGATAAATAGATGTTGGCAATGCTGATGCACTATCCAACTTAGGAGTATTTCCGAGATACAATACAAAGTTAATGTTTGCTGGTCTTTCAGGAAGAAAGAAATAAAAAAGAAGAAGGCGAGATCTTTCACCCAATCAGTGATTCATTGCGCGAGGTAGAGAAGATATCAACATCAACAAAAGGATTAAAAAACTATGATGGTGTTTGGTTCAACTAAATGTAATGTAATTGGATTACAGAGGGTAATGGATAACGTTACTGTTGTTTGGTTGGATTTGCCCCGATATTAGGTACCCTGTAATCTAATTACAGCCTATTCAATTCCGGACATCCCGAAGCCTTATCCGATACTGCCGCCACTGCTATAGGACTCGGGTGCTTCCTCTTCCTCTTCCTCTTCCTCGCCTCGCTTTCATTACCCTATTCGCTTGTTGGTTTCAGCCAGCCCAAACTATCCAGCTAATAGTATTTTTTTATCACAAAAAATCAGCACCAGCCAGCCCAAACCAGCCTAGAAACCAACCAGCGAGCAGGCTGCATAGATGCAGCCATGGTCGATGAGGCGCTCCAAGTCCAACAGCGAACTCACGTCGCTCCCCACGAAGTCGGCGACCCCAAGATGTTCGTCCTCCCCACCCCCGGGGACAAGCTTAGGCCCGGGTTCAACGTCGTCGCCGCTACAGCCACCGTCCCTGTAGTCGTGAGGAGATGGTGGTCCTCGAGGCGCCTGATGCCGTGCCTGGCAGCGGCGGCAGCTATTAAGGGCCGTCGATCGGACGAATCGTGGCGGCCACCGAGAATGGCAAGGCCAAGGGCTGATGCGGTGGGAGCGAGGTAGTGGACCTGCACGTGCTGCTCGTCGGGGGAGCGGCTCCAGCACCGGCCAGGTTCGTCGCTAGGTGTGAGTGGACTCCGTCGTCGTGCGTTCATCGCTCCCTGAAGATTCGCTCAGCGTCGTCGTGTGTTTGGTGTGCAACTGCAGCTCGTGCACTCAGCTGATTCCATTACCGTCCAAATCCAAACAAAGTCCATGATCTGATTCATTGTTTACGGTCCCAGGGTAATTCGATTTCGTTAACGTTTGCGTTTACATTTGCCAACAACAGCACGTATCTTCATATTATCCTTCCGGCTTCCGTGCAAAAACCTCTCACCAAACACCAACCTTCGAGGTACAAAAGGGGCCAATGAAAATCCACGCTAACCACAAAGAGAAAGCGACCGAACAAATATGATTTCACAAGCCGCCCGCTGAAACCAAAGCCTTTTGCCCTTTCACCCTCCTCTCCCGGAGAGCCTCTCGCCCCTCCCCTCCCCGCCACACCAACCAAGGCGCCAAAAATAAACGCCGCTCCACTACGTGGCGAGGGAGCTTGTCACATTGCTCGCCACCTCGTCTTCGGGGAGGCCTCGTCGCGACGACGATGGAGGTCGCCGAGGCGCCCGCGCCTGCGCCCGACGAGGACGCGCTGGACGAACGCAGCGTGGCGCTGCACCCCCCGAGGCTGCTCGCCGGCGTCGTCTCCGGCGCCCTCACTGGCCTCTTCGCTCTTGGTACTTGCTCTTGCGCATACATGCTCCTCTCGCCTTGATCTTGCCCCTGCTGTTAGCTGTCCTGAGAGCTCGACGTTGGCTTTGTGGTGCATGTGCCACGCGCGTGTAAAGCTGGGGCTCTGACTGGGGCAGTCACCGGCGCGGTGGCGGGCAGAGCTTCCGACAGCGGCGGCGTTCTGCGGGGAGCTGGATTGGGGGCGGTCGCCGGAGCTGTCCTCTCCATTGAGGTTCTTGAGGCTTCTCGCGCTTATTGGTGCTCCGACCGCCTGGGCTCGCACGGCGCATCGTCCATGGTAGTAAGCTTCTTCCATGCCCTGTCTTTGCTTGTTCAGTTGTTTGCTTTCAGTTTCACTTTCACATGATATATATGCGTATTCTTGTAAATTGAGAACTTGATTGTCGATTAAATTACGATTCTTGCTTGGACTGTTGGACGTTAGGTGTGAACGCAGATATGCCATCTGTTTCTCTAAAATCTCTTCGACGTTATCGTGTATGTCAGTCTGTGTGAGATAGTGACTGTTACTAGTACTACTTCATAAGGTTCCCTTTGGTTTCATAAAAAATATAACAGAGAAAACAACCTCATAAACCTAATTTGACTTGCACTACTGCAATCTAGAAAAATATTCGACTTGCACTACTACTTGGTCGTTTGAGGTCTATCATAAATATGAGTTTACCACGGTAATTGTTAGTAATTTTATAGAAGCGTTCTCTATAACAACATTTATGGTTTGGTGTGCAGGCTGATTTCATTGAGCAGCTTCTTCGTGCCCGGTTTGTGCAAGAGCAATTTACAACTTCAGGATATGCATCATATCGCTGGCAGGTCAGTAATCAGTAGCACTGGAGTATAATTTTGACAGCACAAAGCTACAGAAAAATATGGCATGGATTCCCATCATTGTATTTGCCACAGAATGGAGATATCACAGTGTTCTAGTAGTGGCTTTTCTTTTTCTTTTTTGTCAATGCTTCCTTTGAATTGTTGTCTTTTTGTTGTTATAAAGAAACTGAATGGTAATGCTGCAGAGAAAAAAATAGCCACAGTTAATGGGTTGTTTGTGTGTTTCTACTTCTACTAAATTTTATATACTTTTTCATTGACAGGTCAGCATATCAGATTTTGGTCACGATGACCTATATGACATCTTTGGAGATATTTCATCTAAAGGGCTCTCACAAGAGTCACTGAAGAAACTACCACATTATGTGGTCACTAACCAAATGGGGGACTCATTCGGCGAAATCCTGTCTTGCCCTATCTGTCTACAGGTACAAATTATGAAAGCGCAATACTACTAACTGTTAAAGAAACCTTCTACCACAATATGCACTTTGATTTGGTTAAAAGTATAGCAGGAATAAGAGAGAAAATACCTACAGCTTTTGCAATTTTGTTTCCCTTATAAGCACCCCACCTTTATAATTAAATATAAATATCCCACCTTAATTAATATAAACACCAGGCCCTGCCTGTTTATGTTCAAAAAAGAAAAAAAATCACCTATGTTAAAAGTAAGCTCCTGTCACAGTGGTCTTGCACCTTAACATAAATTTGAAATGTTTTTAAGAAAAAACAAAGCCAACCATTGTGACCATTAATGTTTTGTTTTCTAACTTGACACTGGAGTACTGATTGTTAGGTGGTTGCTACGCGCTCCCAGCCTATTATTAGTAGTACTTGATTTGTCTGTGTAGTGGTGGTTAAACTCGTTTGATGCATTCTGTAAAGTTCTTTGTCCTGATGATTAAGGCAAAAAAAATCATTAAGTAATAGACTTGTCCGCAGCCATTAAACACAAGTTAGCACATGGACTACCAATTCGTCCGGGGTACAGACAATTGACAAGTAGTCAGCGATTTTCCAAGCTATTTCTGAGCGAGATATATGGTTGTTCAACCAGAAAAATGGGCTCATTCTGGGAGCGATAATGAGATCATGAATGCAAGTTGAGGCACAATGGTTGGACAATGACACAATGAATGCATGGTAGGAGTGACACACTGATATGAAGTTTAGTGGGATGCAGCAACCTCAATGAGGCAACTGCAATTAGCGATTTCATACCAAAATTTGTTTGCTACTAAATGCAATGTGTGGCTGGCACCTGCTTTGTGCATTTTTTTTTTTCACCAACACCGACCTAATAGCGTCCTTCATCTTGCAGGACATTGTAGCCGGCGAGACAGCGAGGAGGTTGCCCAATTGCTCTCACACTTTCCACCAGCCTTGCGTGGACAAATGGCTCGTCGATCATAGCTCATGCCCCGTTTGCAGGCAAGATGTGTAAGATAGGTAACCTGCGTAGATGAAGAAATAGTTGGGTGAAGTGAAATGTTTGCTCCTACACTTCACATAGAGGTACATACCGTGGTGTAAATTAGCAGAATCTGCCTGTGTTTACTACCTGCGGGTACGGCCGTGCACATCTGACAATCTGACTTTGTCTCTTACACCCGGTTCCAACGTGTAATGAAATAAGATTGCTATCGAAGCAGTTCCTGTTTCTGTAGAATTTATTTGTCTGCTTGGCACTCTGCGGAACAACCGCATAATTTCTGAACAGATTCCATGCGCAGTTCCAGCCGTGTCGGCAATATTCTTGCTGTCCTCGTTCTTGCAGATGCAGACCCTGTGTTTGGCATCAAGTGTTGATGACCATGTTTCAGTCCTCATGGCCGTGTATTCCAGTGCCCATCTGAAACTGATGGCGGTAGCGCCCAATCCAGATAGAGCACTGTTGATAGGACATCAGAAATTCAGCATCCATTCATCTTTGATGGAGTAGAGAGCAGTGGCCCTGAACCACTGCTGTGCTGAATCAATTGTTGCTTGAAATCTTGCAGTCTACATAGTCAGGGTCGATGGATCCCCATACCAAAGCATAGTAATGCGTGCGACCTGCCGTCCGGCGGCAGCCCTGACTTCTGTCAGGATCACGCCACCTTCGACCAAGAAGGCAAGAACAGAGCTGAAACTCCCTGGCTCCCACCTCGAATCGACCTGCCGCTACGACATCCTCTACATTGTCAGAGTCTGTGATCGTAGCTTTCCACAATAGATTGTATAGCTTCGTGTTTATCATAAAATTTGCAGGCTATTGAGCATTTGGAGATAGAACAACAAATCTTTCCTGGTCCCGAACATGTAGCACTGAAAAATTACAAGTGAACGTAAAAGTTATGGACGAAGCCAAGCACATTATGAACACCAGATTTTCTATTGGCAGAACAGAATTCAGGAACAAGTGTTCTTTCAGAGAAGTGTAACGGTCTAACAGAGTCGCCACTCTGCAAGAGGCGCTACATAATATGCCCAACAATCACAGAATGCCACCTCGTCATTTCAACCCCTGCTTCTACTGAATACTGGAACAAAATACATTGAGAAAAAGATTTCAGAGCCTCGCTTTTCAACCCAGTCACTTAGTGACTACCAGAATATAAGCTCCTGAGTTACAGCATAGTATATGGTAGCCGAAAGAATATCTTTAGTGTATGTGTCTCTGTACTTTCAATAAAGAAGAAAGAGTATGCCGACTTCTTCTATTCAGTATTTGAAATTGTCTATCTGTGCAAAACGACGATGTGAAACTTCTTGGATCCAAGATCCTCAAACCATTTTCCTCCATGAGGAACCCGTCTGCAGGTTTAAAAACGAACAGTGAAATCAGACATTCATATATCAAGCTATACAAACTAACAAAGCCCCCAAATATAACCCTTGGGTTTTAAAACAGTTGCACGTTTCAGTTGCTGGGAATCACCTGGGGAAACTTCTTGAGAGGGTCCTGAATTTGGATTTCATCTTGTTGGGAGACCCATATTCCTCCGATGATGCTCAAACTGAAATACAAAGACAAAGTTCACTAGATCACCGAATAAAGTTTTCATGTAGGGGGAAAATCCAATGCATTAGGCATTCCACTGACTTACCTTTGACTTCTGAAGAGCCTGTCTTGTCTCAGGATCAATATCCAAGTCACATAATCTGCTGGGCATTATCTTCACCTTCTTGATATCCAGCTCAGGGCCACCTCTGATCACAGATGCCCACCATTCCTTCTTGTTTTGCTTTGACAGTAGTATAGACAGTGATTTCCCGTCCTCTGAAGGAGTCATTACAAAATAGTGAATGACATACAGGTAACGCAGACTTCATGCAGGAACAGATATTAGTGTTGCAACAGGAATACCAATTGTCCAGAAGCAGTCGCAAACGTTGACCGGTTGGTAAAGCACCCCCTGGAATGAAAAACAATCAAAGATTATATTAGAAGATGTATGCCCTATGAGGAAGATTCTTGTCATGTAAATACTGAGCATGTCACTTCATCAACATATAGACGAGGTTACGCCATTTCAATATTGCCACTTACGTCAATTATTGGAGTCTGGCCCTTTAGTGCAACCTTTAGGTGGTTTTTCTCAATCTCACAGACAACAAACATTGACTTTGTTCCTTGGGGGACTGGAACAGTTATGTTAACCTCTGACAACTCTTGAGTCCAGGAATATTTCTCCAAGTCCAGACCATTTTCAGCATTTGGTTCTAATCCACAATTGAAAAGGAAAACACCTTAGTTCTTTAATGTAAAGGATGTGAGCACAATAACAGAAATGGAAGTGCAGATTACAATTAAGTTCATCTGATGTCCAGATCAGCATGAGAGTACAAACAATTTATTTCAGAAGAAGGGTATGCACAGCCCAAGTTGTTAGTAATTGATATCCCAGAATTTGAGATCAGAATGAGGCACAGTAAGTAACATGTGGAAATCACAGTTGCCACGAGAAATGGGTCTCAAATAACAAGGAACGAACTTATCAACTATTCATTACAGTAGAAATCTTACTTAATTAGCACAATAATGATAATTTAAAGACAAAACTTATAGGTTCAACGCAGCATAATTCTACTGACAGTCTGACAGAACATATCAGCAGAAGAATCAGTAAACATGATATTGCATCGTTAACTGATTGCTGCTTGACATACATGCTGTTAAACGTACAGATCTCAAAGCAAATATTGATAAGTGCAACCGAGTACAGAACACTAAACAACTTGAAATCCCTTTCATCTTTTGTCACGACAAAGATAAGCATCAGTTCAGAACTCAAATACTCAATCCCAGTAAAAAAACTCGTTGAATCACTGCTTTGAAAGTCAAGCTCTGACACTCATGAATTAGCATAAAACTGTAAAGGCAGCCAAGCGAGAATCTGAAATTCCATGATATTTTCCTGTTTGTTATCATGTAAATCTCAACACCAACACTTCACACAGGAAGCAACTACGGTCTACGGCATACTTTGAAATTCCATGATGTATTTGTCTGAATGTTGTCGGTATGTCAATCTGAACACCTATGCATCATAACTTTAGAGCAGAATCGCAAACCCATGTGCTCAATCTGAAGCTAACTAGTTGCCGAGCCTAGAACTGCAATGCGACTTTACTCTGCTTGCGCAAAGACATAGGAGTAGAAAGGAACATAGCGCCTTCTATTTGATGAGTAAATGCAGCATCAGAAATCACCAAGGCACAAAGCAAATCCCGCATTCGAACCATGAACATCACAAACAGACCAAAAAAGGTGGCGGTACGAGATGAATCACCTCTTGCGCGCCTCCCGTCCTTCGCCGCATTTTCTGCGCCCCCCTCCAACTTCCTCTCCGAATCCGCCGCCCTCCTCGACTCCTCGTTCCTCCGTCTCTCCGTCAACTTCCTTGTCTCCTCCTTCGCTGCCACAAGCTTCTCCTCCGCCTCCACCTTGGCCCTGGCCGCCTTGGCCATCGCTGCCACCTTCCTCGCCGCGGTGGGGTCGCAGTGGAACAGGCCGGAGCGCTCCCGTGCGACGTCGATCGCCGCCTGGAGGAATGGGAGTGGGCCGCCCATGCGCTCGAGCACCGCCGCGAGGACGTCCTCGTCGCTCCTGCTGATGGCCTTCGCCGCAGACGGCGCAGCCACCTCACCGTCGCCGTCCTCCTGGGAATCGGTGATGATCGCCATTGGCCGCTACTGCTTATAGGGTTTCGGCCTTTCGGGCAGTTGCTGCTCGTGCGAGGTTTCCAAGTGGGTTTCGTAACGAAGCTTGGAGAGCTGGAGGAATGGAGGGGAGGCCTTGTTTGCGAACGGATTATGCGAAGACGACGCGAGGGTTTAAAGGGATTTTAGAACAGTGACGAGTTTTTGTCAGTTGCGGCCAATGCGTCTAATACGAGTGGGGCTGGGTGACGGTGGGCCTGGGCCATGTTACCTCTCGTATGAAGCAAATACTTTCCCTTTGACAGGTTTGCGGAAATACTTACTCCAGGACGTTCTGCCTGAGGGAGGTGGCTCTCTACGAGCGGGCCAATAAAAAACAAATTTTAATTTCCTCGTGCTTATCCATTTTTCCCTTTGGAGCCCAAACCGCTTGGCTAAAAACACATGGAGCGGAGTCTCGCGAGCGGAAGGGCCGATCCGTTCACGCCTTACTCCGGGGCGTTCAGCGGGGGAGGTGGCTTCTCGAGCCGGGCCAATAAAAAACAAATTTTAATTTCCTCGTGCTTATCCATTCGTCCCCTTTGAGCCCACACCTTACTTCTTCGTGCTTATCCGTCCAGCCCCAAAGCAGCGTGGCTGCTCATCCGTCCGCCCTCTTTTCCAACACACGCCGGTCCGGCTGCCGCCACTGCTTTCCTTTCTCGTCGTCGCCCATCCGCCGCTTCTCTTTCTGCCCCACGCCACGCCACACGGCGCGCCGTTGTGCCTGCCCCGCCAGCCAGGCTGCCCATCCGTCGCTCACCTGCGTGGCAGTCACCTGCGTCGCTCGCTCCCTTGCCGTTTGTTCGCCGCCCATCGCCGTTGGGCGCGCCCCGCCATGGCCACTGGGGCACATGTGTCGTGGCACCTTAGGTCTTCCCCAGCCAAGCCAAGGGCACCCACGAGCATGGCCGGTGCTAGTGCTGCTCGCGCAGCGGCTTGCCGCGGCTCGCACCCTGACGGCCGAAATCGACTGGCCCAACCTTCCCTCTCCTATGTTGCATACATGTGTTTCAAGTGTTTGAGATGTTTCAGATGTATGTTGTAACTATTTTTATCTTGATGTTATAAAAGTAGAACGGGGGATATTGCATATGTTGCAAGTGTTTCAGAGACATGTTGCAAGCGTTTTTCAAATTGTTTTATCTATTTCCAGACGGCTGTTGCAATCTTTTGTTTATCTGGATGTTGCATATGTTTCGCATATATGTTGCAACAATATGTTCCAGATGTTTTAGCTGTTTCAGTCTTATGTTGCAGCAAGTGGTTTCATATTGCAAGTTGCAAATCTAGATGTTTCGTGTGTTTCACACACATGTTGCAAGTGTGTTCCAAATATTTTATCTACTTTTAGATATATGTTGCATTCAAATATTTTCATGTTGCAAGTGTTTTATGTTGTATAGTCGGGGGTGAGCAAATTGGGCGCACGGTGCTCGGGGGACCGGCGAACAGGGCCACTGGGGCTAGCAGACGATGGTGCTGAGGTCGGGGCATGCTCGTCCTCAACTGCTCATACCGGCTCCAGAGTGATGCCCGTGTGGAGAGAGAGAGAAGGGGGTCAGGGGCAACCGATGGGCGCAGAGATCGGGCAAAGTGCATGCGTAGGACGAGACGAAGACGAACGGGGTCCGGACGGAGGCAGACGGGGGCGGGTGCGCATGCTCCGTCCGGACATCCGGCGCTAGCCACACCAAAAGGTTTGTGAACCAAATACTCCCGTTACACTTGCTTGCATCAAGCGAGTTTACAATGCTCTTATTATCTTATATAATTTGGTTCATCTCTACCCCTCTGTAATGCATAAAAATTTACCAAATCCACCCTCTCAACCACTTCCACAGTCATATCTAATCTAAGTCCATCCAAATCTGTATAACAAAGTAATCCAACTTCATACAAATAAATGGCATGAATCTCTCCTCGAGCATTCTTCTCTTACTCATTGAAGATCCTATAGCCAAAATCATTATAATCATGCACATCGTTAAACCCAGGATGGAAGGAAATTCAGAGGCCATGAGCACCAAATCCGCTCGAACGAATCGAGAAATACCAAAATTCTGGAGTCTGTCGTCGCCCGCCAAGCAATCCAAAAGCACTAAGGGGCTCATTTCATTGCTTCTAGCGCCATTGGCTCAAAACATACTAGGTCAGCGCAAAAGTAATCCAAAAAGATGAGGGGCTCTTTTTGCTGCCTCTCGTCCATTTTGCCCCCATAAAAAGAACATGATAAGACACCAAAGCATCCTTCGCTCTTGTTTTCTCTCCCTACTTCGGTATTGAAAGTTCGGTGACCCATTGTTCAAGATTTTCATCAAGTTACAACGACGAGCCCATCGCCGACTTTGGCGTCATCAACTACGCCTTCGCTAACATTTCAATGAGGGACTTCGCCACTGATTTCACCAAACTTGACAATATCCAACCCAACAATTGTTTTTGCAAAAGACCTTACCACCAATTTCGACATCACCGGCAATGCCTTTGCAATCATATCGATGCGTAGCTTCACCACTGACTTCGGCTAACTCGACTTCGCCCACGCTAACCTATCAGGACAGGCTTCGCCATTGACTTTTGCTTTCATCGGCAATGTGTTTGCCAAAGTCTCAGTGAGCGGTGTAACACCCCGGTGTTATGCAAGCATTTAGGCACTGCAAATCATGTATATTATGCATCATCAAGCATCCTAATCATACATGCCTAATCATGTAAATAATAACTGAAACAGTGCTTCGAAACATATGAAACATGCTCGTGAGACATGAATGTTGCACACACTTGTTTAGAGTTATTTTACCCTAATTATGCTTGCTAGGTTAGTAAAACATGTTTGGCTAAAATTATAAATAATCTAGAATTATTTAGCACAATTTTTGGAGCAAAGTTTGTATTCAAACTTTTGACAAAATATGCTTTTGAAATTATTATTGGAAAAGGTTAAAAATCCCCTCTATTTAGCTTTTGCTTCCCAATTCAAAATCTATGCAAAATTTTTAGTTGGTCCCTAAACCAAAGTTGTAGAGGATTAAATTATAAGCAACTTTTATTTTTGGGCCATTTTCAAAAGAAGTCATTTTCTTGCTCAAAAAGGGTACTTGAAAACTGATATTTGAAAATTTATTGAAATTAGAATTTGAAAATTGTTTCTCTCTTTTAACTCGGCGAAGCCTCACTTCACTAAAGACCAGTGAAGCCTAACCCAAGATATAATCTTCAATAGATTGTCGCCTATAGCCTAGAGCCCAGCCCCCACCTTGAGTTGTCTTCCTTCTTATATTTTTGATCAAACAGAATAATCTGAGGGCGTCTACACGCCACACAGATGATTATATGTTAGCGACGCCGGCCGGGTAGCGTTCCCCAAGGCCCAATTACAAGCGTGCTTCGCCGGCTTTCAAGCCACCGCAGTTTCGCTTCTCCCAAAGCCTTCTCATTTTCCTCTCCCACGCCAGGTCTCGCCGCCCCCAATGAAAACCTCCTCGCCCCTTTCCCATCGCCAGGGGAAGAGGGGGAAGGTGGAAAAGGATTGGCCCGGTGGTCCACCATTGCCCACAATCGAGCACACTTCGCTCCACCCGCTCTCCCATGTTTGGTGCTTTCATAGGGACACCATTTGAGCAAGGTATAACGGCATTGATAGCGCGTTTTCGCCATGCCTACGGTGCACAACGCCGCCGCGGCCTTGGCCTCGCCGTGGAAGGGCTTGCTCGTCCCTTCTCCATCCCTTAAGTAACCCGCTCGGGTTTCGCCATCTTCTTAATGACCCAGCGCTCACGCTTGTTTGCCCATTGTGTGGTCGGTAACGATGCCGCTCATTTGTGAGTTTTCGCCGTGGCGTATCACATGAATCCGTGGCGTGGCTGTCGCTTTGGATTGTGTGGGCATAAGGATGCCTTGGCTTTGAGAGCCCGAGCCGCACCGTCGCCCTTCCCCTCGCTCGGTTGCGTGGGCGAAAGCGGCCATGTGGGCAAATCGTTCCCATGGGCCGCCCGCAGAGTAATAGGAAAATTGTTTTCGGTTTTCTTTTATTATTTGGAAAGAGAAATACTTTGGAAAATGGTTGTGTACTCATTTTGGCTCCAAATTTGTTGAAACAAATTTTGTTGTGTTCCTTGTCACCAGATCTACATGATAAAAATATTGCATGTCATTTTTGAGATACTTTTCTGTAGAGCTTTATTTAATTCTTGGTATTGCTGATATCTTGTAAAATGTGTAGTAAAACCTATATGCATCAGAAAAATATGCTTCCAAGTTTGTTACTCTTCTTGTGTAATGTACTTCCTATGAAAAATATATGCCATGCATGTCCTGTAGAAAAATTGTGAGATGTAGTTCAAGTGCCTTTAATGGCTGATTTTTGTTATTTTTGCTAGAGAGCAAAATTTGTATAAAACATGCATGTGATAATTTTTGTACAGTGATTATTTACTGTTTAGAACCTAGGAAAAATACTAAATCTGTTGTTTGACTCTTTTCATAATACAAAGTATTTTCATGCTCATAATTAGGTCCAAGCTTGTCATTTTTGTGTAGACTATTCCACTTATCCAAATGCCATAAAAATCTTATGGTAGACTACTTAGGGTAGTACTGTGCTATGATAATTTTCTAAGATTTTTCTAAACTATAAAAATAGATGTTGCTATTCAAACTTATTATTAATTAGGGTTTAATCAAATGTTGCTTTGTGCATGATTAAGAAATTAGTGAAGCTTTGGTGTATCTTTGAAGCATTTAATGAGATGTGTTGACTTAGCATATTAGTAGTTGAAGAGAATGCAGTAGATGACATGTGCTTGTAGTACATGTTCTTGGATGATGTTGACTACCTTGCATTCAAGCATATCCATTGTGTTCATTTCATCCGATGCACCTTTTGCATAAGCACTTACGCACATGCATCATACAGGATCGCAAACCGAGAGCCCAGTCATCATACCCGAGAAGCCCGAGGAGCAGCTCGAGGTGCAGCCGCA